TTCTAATTCTTCTTGTTGTCGTTGTCAAATGGAGGAGAGCTAAAGGTGAGAGCGTTTACAAGAATCAGCTTTTATTTTGAAATAAATCTGTTTCTAAAGAAACTGAAGCCAACTTTCTGCTTTTTCAGGAAACAAAACCCAGATGAGTGAAGATGTAAGATTCAAAAAGAAATTTTCAGGATTTGTTGTTTAGTGAAATGTAAAACACATAATTTCATGTTAATAAATAATCTTTGTGTCGTTTTTCTTGTAAAGGCTGATCCTGAAGATGTTGTTCAATACGCTTCCATCAGTTACACCAAGAAACCTAACAGGAAACCTGAGGTAAGATGTCGGATAGAGCATGTCAGCTTCAGAGTTAGATTCTTCTTGTTTTGACCAGTTTGAACCTCATGTCAAATAACTGAGATGCTCTTCGTTTGAAACCAGCAGGTTCTGGGTAAAAGTGATGATGATGATGATGATAAAGTGGCCTACAGCTCTGTGAAAGCTCCTTCCTCCTCTGATCCCAACAACCTCTATGCTTCTGTCAACAAATCAAAGAAATAAGAGGCTCGTATCTATTTTCCTTTTGTGTGACATTTAGGAGATGATAGTTTTTGTCCAGTAGAGGGAGCTGTAGGTTTTATATTAATAGTGTTTAAAGAGGAATATTTAGTTGTATTTGAAGATGATATAGTAAAAATATTTAGATTTTTGTCAGTCATATCTGACTGCAGGTCTGATTTTATAATAAAAACTTTTGGAGCAGATAATGATTCGTCGGTCTGGTAGATTTTGCTTTTATTGTGAAAGGCTGGGTTGAAATTCCATCAGGGTTTTTTTTTATTTGTGATTTTGAAATGTTAATATTCAGTTTTAACCTCAGCTTTTTTTTTCAACCCAACATGAGCTCCTTCTAATATCAATAAAATGAGTTAAACAGAGTTTTATTCCCAGCTTTTATAAACTTGTGAATATTTTCTGTTTTCATAGCCTGATCTCAAAGTTTGTCAAATATTTTGTTTGATTCTAAGTCAGAAAAAACAGCAGTTTAATGAAACTTTAATAAAAAAAACATTCTATTTAGTTTTGTCTCATCTTCACAGCTGAACTCTGTCTGACCAGCAAATAGAATGTTTTT